TGAAAAACAACCCCACACCATAATCCCCCCTCCACCAAACTTTACACTTGGCACAATGCAGTCAGACAAGTACCGTTCTCCTGGCAACCGCCAAACCCAGACCCGTCCATCAGATTGCCAGATGGAGAAGCGCGATTCGTCACTCCAGAGAACGCGTCTCCACTGCTCTAGAGTCCAGTGGCGGCGTGCTTTACACCACCGCATCCGACGCTTTGCATTGCACTTGGTGATGTATGGCTTGGATGCAGCTGCTCGACCATGGAAACCCATTCCATGAAGCTCTCTGCGCACTGTTCTTGAGCTAATCTGAAGGCCACATGAAGTTTGGAGGTCTGTAGTGATTGACTCTGCAGAAAGTTGGCGACCTCTTCGCACTATGCGCGTCAGCATCCGCTGACCCCGCTCCGTCAGTTTACGTGGCCTACCACTTCGTGGCTGAGTTGCTGTCGTTCCCAAACACTTCCATTTTCTTATAATACAGCTGACAGTTGACTGTGGAATATTTAGGAGCGAGGAAATTTCACGACTGGATTAGTTGCACAGGTGGCATCCTATCACAGTTCCACGCTGGAATTCACTGAGCTCCTGAGAGCGACCCATTCTTTCACAAATGTTTGTAAAAACAGTCTGCATGCCTAGGTGCTTGAATTTATACACCTGTGGCCATGGAAGTGATTGGAACACCTGATTCCAATAATTTGGATGGGTGAGCAAATACTTTTGGCAATATAGTGTATATCCATCATTAATCCTTTGCATAAACAGAGAATGTCATGAATTAGAACCTCACTTTGGCTCTTTATCACTCCTACAAACTGTAATCAGTTTTCAGATTACAGTTGGCAAACTATGAGTCTGTTTAACACCTAGCTGCAGCTTTATTGCCAGAGCAGCTAGCCTGCTTAATCAACCAGCTAATATCGGTGCTCTATGGTCGTGTTGGTCTGTAAACAGCAGAACAACAAAGAGGTTTGTTTGAATTGCATAATAAGCTCTTGAAAACGACAGCATTTAGCAGGTGTTTCTCTGTTTGCTTAAGTCTCAGGGTCAAACTCAAAATGACAATCGTGTCATGGATATGAATCCAACTAAGTTTGACAGCGGTACATCATTTTAGCTTTAGCATTAATTCCTTGAATTTTCATTTATGAGTAAAAGTAACAAAAAACTGACAGAATCAAGTTTTGTCCCTCTAAACAACTTGTGGCCCACGCCTTATCCATAATTTGTTTTTTTGACAGGCTCTTCACTACTATGTACCCATGTCACTTTGTTTTTTGTGTAAAAAAAAAAAAAACACAGTTTTGTAACCAAAACAAACAAACTAACATGTTGTTGTAGTACATTGGTATGAAAAGGCACAAACAGGAAGTAGGATGGGACAAAAAGATAAAGCCTAGGGGCATTAGACCAGGAGGACTTCTTGTTCGTGACAGGACACGTCCATGAGGTTTTTGAAAAAAACATTGGTTCCTGTTTTGATACTTCAACCCCAGTAAAGGTTATTTAACAGAAAACTTAATTTATAGCCTACATGACTCAGGCATCAAACTGTGTTTCTTTATTGCTCTTAAGGGATAAATTGTTCATTTTGACATTCCTTAAAAATTTGTCTAACAATATGAAATGGCTCCTTAGTTTTGGATTCTTTTTTTACTTTGAATTAATTAAACATTAGATTTCTCGTGTTAACAGTCTTTACTATCTAGTTTAAAATATGCTCGCTGTCAAACGTGCTTCCAGTTTAATAGTGAAGCACAAAAATACAATGAAACATTTAAATCCTTGGCACCACCATGTTTTATTCTAAGCATACTCTGTGTTTCCATTATCAGCGTGTATCTGCCCAAACTAGCCAAAAGAAGCCAAGTCTGATTTATACAGATATTTTTTTCCTTTCACGGTACAGTTTTCATCAAAATACTGTGAGACAGGCCTTTGATATTCTTTAATATTGGCTATGCACAAATCTACATTTTTGACCTTCTTTGCAAAATAACGCATACTCAGAAGGATCATATAAAGTGTTAGCTTTGCAAAAGCACTCCAATAATTTTGCTGTGGGCCATTCTAACAAGAACCCACTTTGAGCCGAACCATTGCACTGTAGCTCAGGCTCAATATTTAGGGTTGAGGTCCTACTTGAAGGTGAGCCCCTGAATGAATCTCAGGTCCTCAGGAGCCTCTGGGTTCTTTTCATTTATGACTAAGCAACAAAAATAAACAAAAAAAAAGTATCCAACCAAGTATGATGGTGTGACCAACAGGTTTTACCATGGATGTCAGCAGGAATGCAAGGTGATCATGGTTTTCCATGTATTTAAACAAATCTTTGTTGTGGTAGCAACCATTCATCAAATTCACTCAAAGCAGCTTCTATGTTTCTTTTGAAGAAAACCTTATAAACAAACAACTTTAAACCCTTATTTCAGCAATGAAATTAATTTGTAGATACATTTTACAATTTACTTTTTTGTCTAATTCTTTAAGACTAGAAAGCTTTAGTTGTTCTCGACCATATCATGCTATTGGCAGTTTGTTTTTATTCTGAACTTGGTGCAATTCTGTGATAATATGGTGCAAATTTATTTTTTATTGCTTAAAGGTATACTATGCAACCAGTGTTGATTTTCCAGCGAGGCTCCCCCCAGAGGGCGAAAGTAAAAGTGCACTGTCGTAAATATGCTCAGCTGTTCTCCTGGTTTCTCCGTCAAGCCAGGCGCGGTTGTTTTGAGCTTAGCAGACAGGCGAAAGCAACGAATCACCATGTCTACTGCGGTAGAGAGCCCTTTTCCTCTTTTTTGCATGCTCTGACATGGGCTTTCGCTGTTTTCTCGCTTGTTCCGCCATGATAACTGCACAAATATCGCCACTGCACTAGCAACGAGCATGCCTGGGGGCGTGTAGTAGTTCTGGCCATAAAGCAAGACCGACTCTCGCAATGCACGAGACTTCTGAGCCTGTGGGTGGGGGCCGAGGGTTCCTGCAATTACAAGTACGGTATTTCCCCTACAGACCACCAGGGCGGCTGAGAAAACCTTTCTTCGACCTGAAATGACTCATCTAATCATCCAAAACGCTATGGAACACATTAATTAACTGAAAAATGTTGCATAGCATGCCTTTAAATCAGAGGTCTTCAACAGGAGGTCCGTGACCCCTAGGGGTCCACAGAGGTACTGCATGGGGGTCGCGAAAGTTTTGGTTGATTAGACTTTTTTTTATATTCCCCCCGCAATTTTTCCATTAACTGACATGTCTTTAAATCCATATCAACATGAATTCAACACACTTTAGTAAACAGATAACTGGAGGCAGAAGATGTCTTTCAGTCATCAACGCACACATTCAGTGACACACAGGAGCTCTTTCAAGCTAGGCACCGTTTCATTCACAACACCTGTCCCATTAACGAAGAATCTGAATCAGAAATACTTTAATAATCCCAGGAAGAAAATACTTTCGTTACATTACTCCATATGTAATAGAATGACTATAGGACCAGTTTGATATAACAAAATTTTATGCAATATATATAATTAGTGGGTCCCCTGCTCCATCTCGCCATCAGTTTGGGGGTCCTTGACCTGGAAAACGTTGAAGACGTTTGGATTAAATATTACTTCTTCAATTAACCCATGCTTCTCCTAAGTATTTTGTTACTTTGATAACTTCACCATATGGTGTCCTCCCTTTCACTTCTAATCTGTTGTTTCTGTTCTGACTCCTGGAGGAGGCGGCCGGATGTGATTAAGCCTCCGATGTGAGCCTCTGCTGAAATGTCTGTCTTGTGTTACATGTGCTTTTCTTGTGCAGAGGAGTTTTTGATATCTCAAACTGTATCCTGTCAAGGATAAAGCGTGAAATATGTTTTTTTTCCTCTCTTCCCCAATGTGGCACCTATCTTTCTACAGAGATGAAAGCCAGCGCTGTAGGTAACCACCTGGGACCTGGGGAGCCAGGTAACCGGTGGGAACCTGGCAAGCCATGAGAATGCACTGTTCTGCCGAATGATTCGTCCTGTGGCAGGCATGGCCTCAGCTAAATCGTCACACCCTCTCACCCAAATGTATGTAAAACATTGTGATGAATGGCTGTACTGAAACTGAAATTTCAATTGCAGTGTAAATTTTAGTTGACAATAAAGAAGTTTGATTGATTCCGATTTTAAAAAATGGAAAATGTGCTTCCATTTGGGTTTAATGCTCCCATATGAATTTACTCCAACATAGATCTATTCTGTTGCAAATTATAGATATAAAAAAAACATGTTTAATTTATTCCCCAAAGAGGAATGGGCCTAATTTCGAGCAGCATCTAAGTTCTGCATTGCATGCATCTTTTCTCGTTCCGAGGTGCAGCTATACGTCATTCATTTAGCCGCCTGTAGGGAGAAGATGGCTCTAATCTCTGGCAGAAATACAGGGGGAAAAATAAAAACATCCCGCACTGCTTCCTTAACACGAAGCCGTGTCGGAGTTACAGGCGCGGCTTCAGCACACCAGCACCCCTATACCCACCAATCTCCTTTACATCCTCACCCTAAAAACATCCCATGTTGAGATGTTGCAAATCCCTGAACATAAGCGGAATCCCCGTGGTGTGAAGTCAAGCGCTAGGAGGGGGGGAGGAGGAGAAATGCTGCTGCCACGGAGAACAGACAGCTTTGTGTTTTTCCGGAAAAAATATATATATATCAAAGTTGAAACAAACCCAGCCTTTGTAGGGATAAACCTTTTGGTCTAAATATAGACGTGTCACCGTAAATTCCGCCCGGGGAAACACCCTACAACCAACAGTACCGAGCCACGATCGAAGCATGAACACATCATGCACAGATAATGGATATATAGGTGCTTCATTGACCAATAATGCACATTATTTTAACATTATTAGACATATCCGTGTACTAACATTCAATTACCAAAATAACAGACAACTATATAAGATCAGTGAAACATTTTCTCGACAGTGGCCAAATCCCCCCCACAGTTACGCACCACAGAGTGATATCTCGGTGATTCTTCCTGCAAAGAAACAGAACAAAAAGTACAATTGTAGCCAGAACTGCTCGGCAAATCTCAACTTTTTCGCTGAAGTAGCTTAGAAAGTATCACAAATCAGCATATTAACAATGAGGGAGGTTAAAAGGGTTCCGTGAAATGAACAGAATCCTGAATTAAAAAAATAAAAAAATACTCAGAAATGAGCAGCTAGGCACTTAGCTGGGGGAGCTAGCTGGATGCTAAATTACAAGCTAACCGGGCGCGAGGACCCTAAAAAGCGAAGAAGCCGGTGTACTCACGTCACTATCGACTTCGATGTCATCGTTATCGCTCATTCTTCGCTTGAGTAGTCTGGGTTAAATAGACGGGTGGCTACAAAAACAGCATGGATCAGTTTAGCACCGCGCGGAGCAGCTAGCAGCAGCTCACCTTCTGTTTGGACAGAGCCGTCTCCACGTGACTACTCTTCTTCTTCTTCTTATGGGATTTTATGGCGGTTGGCAGACTTGTGAATTGTGCATTACCGCCACCAACTGATATGGAGTAAAGCAAGAAAACAGGAAACGATTCACCCCCCCAAAAAAAAAAAAAAAAAAAAAAAAAAAAAAAAAAAAAAAAAAAAAAAACCTGTGTAACTTAAACCAACATAATACTAAATCACATTTGCCCATATAATTTTAATTTACTCTAGGTCATCTTAACTCTGCCAGTTTCTGATGGTCCCATCGGTCCTCCCATCATACTTCCAACCATCTCCCAGTTCAAATCTTTAATGTCCAGATATTTTTCTGCAGCCTTCACTATTATTTTGATTTTTTCCGTTTTTTTTGTTGTCTGTGCAGTACAATTAATAACTTCTACCATGAAAAGAACAAAATTTGTCTTTTTAACAATAAGTGAGTCTTCATCAATTTTTAGAGATTTCTCTAGAGGTTTGGAATTTGCTGTGTGTTGAACTGTAGGTTTGGGTTTTTCTGACTGAGATGGGATCCTTTTTGCAGCTTCAGCGTAGGTTATTCCGAGCTCAAATTTCATTTTTTTAATTTCCTCAGACCTTTTGCTTGCTTCACAGCCGCGATAGGCAGCAGTATGTTCTCCACCACAATTACAGCATTTTATTTTAGCTTCTTTTCCACATTTTCCGTACTCATGTTCTCCTGCACACCTTCCACACCTCTGTTTCCCTTTACAAACTGCTGCAATGTGACCGAATTTTTGGCATTTGAAACATCTCAATGGTGGAGGATTGTAGATTTTGACATTATAGCTTATGTAACCGATGAATACTTTGCTTGGTAATTGCTCTTCTTCGAATTTAATTAGCACAGATAAACTGTCAGATCTTTCTCCGTTTCTTGTTGTTTTTAACCGTTTTACTTCTTTTACTTTTGCACCTCTTATGTTTTCCAGAATCTCTTTTTCAGAAATTTTTAGAGGAACTCCTCCAATGACTCCCCTGCTGAACTTTTTGTTCTCCATTAAGCTGCACTGAACTCTTATCCCGTCAATTTTGTTGATCCGTATTGCTTTGCCTTGCTGGGCGCTGTCTCTGCAGATAATTAGCAGGTCTCCACTGTACAGAATTCTGGCACCTCTGACTTCTCCGACAAGTTTATTGATGGTTTTTGTTAAGTGAACCGGATTCCAATTTGTAAAAGAGTCTGCCTGATTAACGACTTTGAATATGACTTTGAATTCATTTTGTTGTGCTGTGGAATGTATGGAATGATCATCACTGGATTGTTCTGAACTAGATTCCCCTTGAACTGATCTCTGTTTTTTCCGCTTTTTCTCATTTTTTGATGTTGCTATCTTCCAACCTTCATTGTCACTATTTCCCTCTTCCATCCCACAAGAATCGCTTCCTGTTTCCTCACTACTCACGGCCCAAGACATTTCTCCATAAGCAGCTTCAAAACACGCGCCATGCACCAAACGACCATCCACATCGCCTCCTTGGTTTTCTTTCTCCACGTGACTACTCTACACACGCACGACTGTTGCTGTGCGGCACGCATGCGTGACATTTCTAGCATATTCGGGAGTTGTAGTCCATCAACGTACCGTAGTTTATCAATCAACGAACACAACGCAGACTTCAATAATTTTATCAAAATGAAAGGAGAAAAAAACTGCTTTGTATTCATTGGTGTTATACTATAAGGTTGGAGGACCCGTGTGTTCCATATTAAAAGTAAAAGCAATTTTTGAAACTACCATACCCACAATTCCGTCTGTTTGGCTTCGACGTCACAGCATCTATTTTGTCGTGTTGCTTTATGGGAATTGTAGTTTAAGCCATATTTGTACGTTGAAGGGGCTGAAAAAGGCCATGGCTGAGACACGTGGAATAAATTAGGGATGAGAATTTTACTTAGGGCAATAATCTGAGTTTTTATAGACCTCATGGCTGCAAAGTTGATTTTAGATATTAAAGAATGGACATGGAATTTTGTCCAAAATATAAATTTTTATATTAAGCCTCCAATCCTCTCATTTCAATTGTTTAATATGTTAACCTCAAATAAGGATGACTTAAATAAGTCATTAGGATTAAAATGAAATATGTCAAATGGGTTCGATTTTCAAAGTATTTAAAAATGAATAATCTCAAATGAGAGCATAATTGCCAAGTGAATGAAAAATAAACAACTCAAAGCTGTTTTCTAATCAGTCTACTTTACAGCCTGCCCTGCACTTTCAACACTCTTGATTTCAACTGATAGCTGATTAGCAGCTTTTTGTTGAACTGCATCAGATTCAAACAATTGCAGTTCCACAAAAGCCTGTAAATTAGCCATCGTTCAGCTGTGCTTAAACCCACAACCAGTGGTTCTCTATCCTATTCTCCAAGTTCTGCATTGCTTTGGTGTCTCCCCACTGCCACACACCTGAGCTAAATAAGTGCCTGATTAACAGGCTTCTGCACTTTTTATACCAAGACAAATACCAAGTATTTTATGTGATGCTGTTATGGATTTACCTATATAAGGAAAAAATAATCTCAACATTTACACAGATGCATCCTAGAATCCATCTGGTCAAACCGTAGCGGCAGTTATAATTCCAGAGTTCAAACTTTGTATATTAAGAAATTAAATTAAGGGTTATCTGTGAATAATGCAAAGGTGATTAGGTCTACTTTTAATGGAATTGAATGATGAGCGGGACCATTAAGAGACGCTAGCTTTTCAGTTTCAGGGTTAGGGTCACTTCTGTTGTGAGCTAGAATCTTTAATAATAACAGATCAAATAAAGTTTGTATTGTATTATGACATAGAGTTTTGTGTTTACCAAGGGCTTCCTCTTTGTACAAAAGTTAATCCTGATCAGATCCTTAAAATACCCGCAAAACTTCCTTTTAATGCAAAGAAGCTTGAGCTCTACTTAGAGTTCCTCCTAGATAAGGGAGCTCTTCACCTTATCTAAAGGGCTTTGCAACTCATCTACCCCAAGTCGCTTTGATCATGACCCCATCTGGGCCTTCTGGCTCGGCTTCACTGAAGTAGACGGGAGCATCACTAACATTTCTGTAAATCAGTCCTTGTGTCCATCTCCTCTTCTCCTCCTCTGTCTATTTATTATCCATTAGTGGACTGTCTTGTATGAGTTAGAATCATCTCCTGCATGTATTTTTGGGGTAGTGTAACACATATAACACATACTCGAGACAATGCAGCTTTTATTTATTAGTTTTTTGCTGCAGTTACTTTGAGTATAGGCTGGCTTAATGTATTTGCTTAGTCAGGGATTTGCAGATGTAAAATAATCTGCTTTCTTTATAGACCCACATTTCTCCCACAAAGGGGCAATAAAGGATATTACTACTTCTTTTCTCCAACATACAGTGCAGATAAGGAGCTTATATTGTGGATTGTTTGGCTCAGCAGCAATGGGTCAGAAAATGTGTGCTAAAGGAGATATGAGCAGACTCTTTCTTTTACCAGCAGGTCAACAGGCCACAGCAGCTTCAGAAGACACCCTGCTCTCCTTTCCTTTTCCTGGTGATACGCAGCTTCAGATCTGCACTGACCTTCATCTTATCATTTTTTTCCTGGCCTCAGACGCGCTGCGGGTCATCCTACAAAATTGCTCTCTTGCTCCTAAATCGCCATTGGAATGAATTACACAGACGGAAACGCAAGGAAGGTTTACCAAGAAAATTGCATGTGACAGCCTGGCCTAAAATATGAAACCATAATGAGGTCGGGCTTTAATAATGAATCTGATGCAGAGAGGCCTCTGTTTCTTCCCAGAAAACAACCATAAACCATTCAGCTTCAACCGTGGCCCACAGTATTCAAAATCCCTAAAGTAATGGATAATGTTGCACAAAAGGTTTTAATTAAGAGGGAGATATTTCTTCACTCTTGGCACTTGCTCAGTGCTATTTCCCTCTGGTTTTGAGTTTAGTAATGAAGATCTTCAGCTCTATTAAGAGTTCAGTCTGATGGGAGCAAAGAGGGGCTGAAAGTGGAACCATCATTGTTTACATCCGAGCATCTAAAGCTTGGATTTAAAATAACCAGATACATCTGTTTCCTTTAGATTTATTTTGTCCAACAGTAGATTTATTCAGATCTTCAGTTGATAATCAAAAACAACTTTAAGTAATAGAACACAAGCTCCATACAGGATAAAATGGAAAATGGTGAATACTTTGACGTTTAAGGATTTATGATAATGATTGAGAGGAAGCTGGAGTTTTACTGTCTCTGGGGTTGAAGGGAGGAGGTGAGTACATCAACAGAGGCTGCGTTTGGAGGCAGGTGAGTAATGATGCTGAGGTGGTGAAGTTCAGGGAGTAAATACTGGGAAGCAAAAGAGAGGGTGTTGAGTGGATTCATCAGAGGAAAGATGAATCTCCTAGATCAATTCACCAGCAAAATTTGGGAAAAGAGAAGGTAGAGGAGTGAGGACCCCAGGGGGGGACTGTGGACTGGAGGAGAACATAATGAGTACAGGAGTTAGAGCGCAACAATGAACAGGAGGCCTGGATCACTCTGAGTGAAAACAATCCAGCATCTGCCTCAGGGAATCCATTCCTCTTTAAGATCCTCCTGATTGGTTTGAACGAGCTCCAGCCACAAGAACACAGCTGCTGGTCACATTGTGCTCACTGCTCTGTGAATGTGATGACTAAAAGCTGCATTAGTATTTTAACACTCACCAGGAAAGGAACCTGTTGAACGGAAGTCTTCAACAGGGGGTCCACGACCCCTAGGGGGTCCACGGAGGTACTGCATGGGGGTCGCAAAAGTTTTGGTTGATTAGACTGTTTTTATATTGCCCCCTGCAATTTTTTCCACTAATAGAAATGTCTTTAAATCAACATTAACATGAATTCAACACACTGTAGTAAACAGATAAATGGAGGCAGAAGATGTCTTTCAGTCATCAATGCACACGATCAGCGGCACACAGGAGCTCTTTCATCCTGGGCACCTTTTCATTCACAACA